TGTCTTTCTCTTTCTCTCTCTGTCTGTCTCTCTTTCTCCCCCTCCCCCTCTCTCTCTGACACATTTGTTTGTTCGCCGGGCCGACAACAACGTGAAGTGGGGCGTCACAGGGGAAAAAAAAAAAAAGGGGAAAAAAACCTCTTCGAGCCCGATGCGCTGACGGTCTGAAAACCGGTGCCTTAGCTCGTGTCGCAGAAGGAATTAGATTAGATTCGCCTGACAAGGATAACGGCGCGAGCAAGATAGGTGTCCGCGATATATCAGATTAGGGTTTAGAAATCAACGGGAACCGAACGAGCTGAGCTAGTCCATCAGATATAGTTTAGGCGAGATAAATATCACACTTCCTTTAGCAGCAGAAGAGGTTTTACAGTTAGATTCTGCTACGAAACCGCGAGAAAGAGGAATCGGCAGCGATACCCGAGATAATCTGCAAGTTTCAGGTGGGTAAGGAGCGGTAAGAAGGCTCCAGAGGCCAGAGACGGGGCTGCGCAGCGGTAGCAGAGGGAGGCCGCAGCCAGGCCACCCCACTGCGCGCGCGTGGAGCCAGTGGCCTACCCGGCGAGTGCAGGCGCTGAGGCGTGGAGCCTCCCGCCAGCGGTAGCGCCGCGTAGCGGTCAGCCCGGTAGGCCAGCCGCCGGCGCGCGCGCTGACCCGGTGGCCTACCCGTTGGCTTGCAGGCGCTGAGACAGTGAGGCAGCAGCGGGCCGCGGGGAGTGTGGGTGTGGGGGTGGTGGGAGGGAGGACCTAGGGAGGACCCGCCGCTGCTCAGCCGCCAGCTTAGGCCACAGCCACGGAGCTGGACTGGAACTGCCATATGCCGCGACAACGTTTTGTAAAGACAGACTCAGCCACCGGCCTCCCGGACCTTGTCGGCCACAGCGAGCCAAGACACTGCGCGCGCCTGGCCGGCGGCGCGCACGGGATACTATGATAAGATTTGCCTTTCACCACCAGATATTTTCGTCGTCTAGAGAGACAGCGGTGGTGCAGGAAATATCTGAAGCTGGTATCTTCAGTTTGATTTGAGCGGCGCACGCAGCGGGTCGGTTGCAGGGAGGGCTCGGCTGGCGCTGGCGTGGTGGACCAGCACCACATAGACTCGGCTCGGCTCACTACAAATTCTATAGAATACACCGACCTATAGCGTACACCGATTTTTCTGTTTTGCTTGATTTTTTCCTGTTTTTTTTTTTTTTTACAATTTTCTGACATTCCCTGATTTTTAAAATTATTTTTGGTGATTTATTAATGATATTTTGTAATTTTTCAATGATTTATTCGTGATTTTTTTTTCTGAGGGTGTACACTGATTTTTTGAGTGAAGGACCTCTCGGACGGGGCCCGGCGAGGACTTACCTGCGGTCGCTCTGCTGCAGCGCCCGCTCGGCGCGCCCACGCGTCCCGGCGACACGACACGACGCGCACGCGCACGCAACGACACGCGCACCGGACCGGGTAAATCTCTGAAATGTGCTGTGGCGTTCGGCGTGAAGCGCGAGGCGAGCCGCGCCCGGGCTTAGAAAGGTGTGCGGTGCTGCTGCCGCCGATCGCCGCACCGGACCGCCTGGGGGCGCTGCGGTCGGCGCCTGGGCGGGCCGGCGAGCATCAGCGGGTAATAAACCCGCCCTCGTGATCACTCATCACTCTCCAGCCGGCCAGCCGTCCTGACGCGAGGACAGGACAATGCCGCTCCAAAGCCCCATTGTGTGATTAAGCCCGCCCCGCCGGCCCCGTCGCGACGGCCCTCCCTTATCTCCGCCGGAGTGGTCATCGCCTCGCCGCCGCCCTTCTCTTTGCTCTGGCCGCTCTGCGTCCCGCCGGCCCCGGCGCTGACCACGCTGACCCTGCTACGCGCGCAACACCTCCTCCCGGCCCCGGGCCCCAGCCGCATGACAAGAAGAACTAGACCGTCGCACCACCTCAGGTCGTCCAGAGTCCAACGGGGGCGAGGGGCAGCCGGCGAGCAAGGCTGTTGCGCTTCGGGCTCGGGCGCGGCTGAACGGAACACGCTGTGTGTGGAGTCCTGGCTGTCGCCTTTGCCGTTGTTGCCTTGCTCCGGTGCGAGGGAGGAAGAGAGGGGTGGAGGGCTTATGGCTTATCTCGAGCCTTATCATGGGTCCCGCGCGGGGCGGGGCGGGGCGGAGCGGAGCGGCGCAGGACGCCCGCGAGGTGGCCGCCGAGCCCCGGCCCCCAGGTGCGGTCCGCGGCCGGCCGGGGAGCGGGGAGGCGGAGGGGCGGGGTGGTCCCATAGACCCACCCTGCCTGACGCGACGACGGCCTCGTTTCCACGGCAACGTCTCTGTGCAAATACACTCTGTGTGCATGGGGCCACCCCGCCCCGCCCCGCCCCGCCGGCTGATAACGCCACGGCCGGGGAGGGTTGGTCGTGGGCCGCCGGGGCGGGCGGGAGGCGTCCGGATCGCTCCGGCGGCACCAAGCGGGCTGCGTGCGAGTGTCCTGAGCCTGGCGAGGCTCTCACGGCGAGGCGAGTGAAGCGCAGGCAGAGCGAGCTCTCTGGCGAGCACGGGCCGCTCCACGCCCGGCCTTATCAGGACCAAAGGTTGGTGTCTCAGCCCTCGCAGCCGCACCCACTCTGCGCAAAGCCAGCGTGACAGAAAGGTGGAGAAGAGAGGAGGGGGGGGGGGGCAAAGCTAATGCCTGCATGCGCTCGATGTCACCACTACTTTTACTGTGACAACTGCCGTGCCCAGTTGTTATTACCCCTTTGATCGGCGCCGTGGCCTGGCGGCGCCGTCCAGCTCGTCCGCGTCGTCGTCGCCGTCATCCTCGGGCGTGATTCACCTCTCGGCGGCCCTGGCGGCTCTCTTGCGTCACACAGGGCCCGGCTCCGGCGGGGCGCGGGGCGCGCGTTAGATGTCCTGCAGCGCCGGATGTCGCGGAGCACACGCGCGTGTGCCCGCCCCCGCCCCGCTGGGGCTGCCCGAGCTGCTTCACTACGCCCCACATTCGCGACGCGCGACGCAGGAGTCGCGGGGCGCACGACCCTCCTCAACACGATACCACACTGGCACCGCGCTGGCACATCGCGGCTGCACCACATCTCCCTGCTCCCCTCGACTCGGCTCCGCGATAACCGATCCGTATCTTAACTACTAGCGGGATGGCCTGCCCCGCCGCTGCCGGCCCGCACCGCCGTGGCAGGGATGAGCCTGGAGCCCCGCGCCCGCGGCGGCGGCGGCGGCGGCGCCGGGTGTCAGGGGCACCCCAGCGTCGTCACGTGCGTTCCATATCGCATCAAACTGTTAAAACGATAACTCGTTTTATTCCGAGTGCAAGAAGGAAGAGAACGGGATGCTATTCGCGCTATCTTATCTCCGCTTGAACTTGTCTCCATGGACATAACGGGTTATCGTAACGTTCCGGAAATTTGGACGAACGTTATCGACTGGCGAGGGTCAGGTGCGCGGCGGACAGGTGCGTGCGCCAGTGTTGTAAAAGCGAGTAAGTTTCACCAAATCAGTTGTTGCGTTAACGCAAATTGTTTCAGATGGGGGGGGGGTGTAATTGCTGGATACAGTCTCATGCAACACCCATTATGTGGTGTAATTCAGCCCTCATCATCGTACACCTTCTTACTTAAAGACACTGCATAGAAAGTTAAGCGTGTATGTATAATATAATATTCCCACCAGAAATCTACTACAAATGGACATATTGAGGAATCGTTCTTATTGTACAATTCAGACGGCAAGTTTTCGGTGACTACTACCACGTGCGCTTCCTGGAACAGACAAACTGACCACTGGGGAGGCCGCGTTGATCGTATGGCGTAAATACTCCACAGCTAAGAGTTGTGGAGTATGGACGGCGCACCTATTATCACCCTCAGTGCCAGAGTATCGCCGGGGAGGTAGGCAGCCCAAAGCACTCCCGAGTGGTGCGCTAGAACGGACAGCTTAACAGGCGCAAAGAATGTAAACAACATTCATATTTCAGTCAATACCATTTAATGTCGAATAATATACTGTTCATCCGGTATGCATATGGCATTAATTAAGTCAGATATGCTAAAGGAGAACACTTCAGTAACAATTTAAAATTACATTTTTATCAGTTCCAACATTATATATATACAAAAAGTAATCCATATGATCAACAAGTATGCAACGATTCATTAAAACAAGATTTTGAGTGATTAGGGCACACTCTGCTTATGTATACATAAACTTTTCTAAAAAAAATCACAATGTAACAAAAAAAATATGTACAAATATAATTAAAAAATGAGTTCATTATGTCAGATGATAAAAATAAGATTCTACAGAGGTAGAAAAAATGGTAAATATTCCTAAATATGACTGGAGAACACTCAGGAAGCCTCAGGGGCTGCCGAAGAGCCCCCGGGCTGGACAAACCTATCTAAGATTACACTACACTGCACATGTGACATTTGCAGGTTATCACTTAAAACAATTATGTAACTACAAAATATAGAGGGTCAAGACTTTATACAAACATTTTATAAATCACATCAGCCAGAACATGGCAACTAGACAACAAATTTTACAAACAAGAGTTGCTACTAAAATTAAACAAGAGATCAAATATTTCTGCATGTTACTTTATATACAAGTTCAGAACTTCACATCAATTTTGGCTCAATGCTCTTTCTAAGGAAAATCAGAGAGTAGTAACATTGTGATTATTTTTTTTCCATTTTTGTGGCCACCACTTTTTTCAAAACTGTGTGGGCATTTTGGTATTGTCTTTGGTTTTCCAGCTTGTATAATAAAAATATTCCCAAAGTTTGTCAGAACAACTGAACACTGCATAAGCATGGAATTCTGTAACTTTATATATATATTCTTGTGTTTTGTTCTTTTTTTCTAAAAAAATTTAAAACAATAACAAATTCAATCTATGTACAAAATTTGGAATGTTAAGTATGGGGAAAACAAGCAGCTTTAAGCATCTTGCATTTACACCTAGTATAAAAATCTTATTTCAAAACTCTATATCAAAACAGATTGTTGTATTCCTCCAGTCAACGAGTATTGTTCAGAAAGGCTCTAGCGTGCCCTTAGGAGGACAGCGACGACACCACCGAGGGTCTCTCCAGACCGTCGACGGTCATCATAAGCACCTTGCTGTTGTTATTGTTAGTATTTGTGTTGTTGTTGTTATTGTTGTGGAGCTTGCTGACGCTGACGATGTGCGGTGACAGATCGTCGTTGGCGCGGTGATGGTGGTGGTGGTGGTGGTGATGTTGCTGGTGGGCCTGGTGGTGGTTGTGGTGGTGCGCCTGGTGCTGTTCGGCGGGCGGCGAAGGGCACTCCATCTTTGGGGACAGGTCGCCGACGGGGCTGTGCGAGACCTGGCCGCTGCCCGTGGCGGGCGTCGAAAAGTCGAAGTACTGTTGGTGGTGCTGTCCCTCGTGCTGGTAGTGGCTGTGGTAGTCAGTGGGGCTGGATGCCACCCCGCGCTGGTGCTGGTGGTGCTGGTGGTGATGTTGGCCGAACAGGCTAGAGTACGAAGACAGCCCGGCGCTGGCCAGGGAGGTGACGAGCGAGCCCGCCAGGGTGGGCGCCCCCGCATTGCTGATGCCCACCCCCACCGCCCCGATGAGCTGGTGTGTCGCCGCGTAGGAGTCAGCTGAAAACAGAAAGGAGCCGTTAGTGTCCGGGGCTGAACTGAGGGTAACGCCACGCTGCTCCGCGCTGTTCCGCGCTGCTCCGCGCAGCGCCCGGCCGCAGGCTGGCCGCGGGCCGCGGGCGCCGCGTGGGCGGCCTACCCCCGCGGGGCTGGGTCGACCTGCATGGGGGCGGGCCCCGGGACTCACCGGCGGACGCGTGGTCGCCCTTGACGGACAGCGGCGACGTGTGCTGGGAGATGAGTGCCGACGACCTGGACGTCGCTACCCCGCCTGCGCCCGACGCCACGACCACGGACTTGGAGCTGCCGCCCTTGGGCTTCCGCTTACGGCTCTGTAACACACAGCGAGGGTTCAGCACGCTTCCTGAGGGGCCGAAGGAGACAGGCCTGAGGGACGGCCCGGGGCAGCCAGTTGCGGCAGGCCACACGAGCACACCAGCACACCCACCTGGATGCTGTCCTTCTTCATGGCGAGCGGGCGGTGGATGCCGTGCAGCTTGAAGTACAGGCCGCAAGCGTTACACACAGGCTCCCCTGCGGCGTTGCGTCGCCACAGCGACGTGGTCCTCGTACTGCAGTTGGAGCAGGACAGGCCCTGGCGGCGGGAGGCGCTCTGCGGAGAAGAGAGACAGAAGAGATTAGCGTCAGGAGACTAGGATCCGATATTGTGCTCTACAAGTCGTAAGGGAGAGGGAAGGGGGGCCTCAATACATGTTGGTGGGGGTTCCCCATGGATCAGTCTCCACATCCAAGGCTATAGCACCCTACGCTATTGCCAACGTTTTAAAGTCGGAAAACAAATACAGAGGGTGAGTGTTCTAAGC